AAAGCTCGGGAGAGCTTCACAGAAAGGCAATGCAACCTGGCTCAGAGGAGTAGGGAGAAAAGAGAAGTTCAAAGAATCCTTTGTTTTTGGGGGTGGTTGGGGTTTTTGCACGTCTTTCTTTCTGGGAAAAAAAAAACCCTTAAACAATCAAAACACGCAGAAAAGGAAGGAACAGAGAGTCACTCTCCTGCAAGTAATCATCATTTACAGAAACTCATCAACCGCTCAGCTCTTCTGATTGCAGCCGTGGTGAGCGGAGAGAGGCAGGAAGGCAGCAAAGAGGGTATCTTTTATGCTTGGTTAGCTGAGGAACCAAGGACCAAGGGACTCTGGGAAATGATGTGCCTCTTTCCCATCTCTGAGTTTTCTGTGACCACTTGAAGTACCAATTGTCTCAAACTCATTTTCCTCTCCAATCATTTTTCCTCTCTAATCATGTCCCTCTCCAATCATTTTCCTCTCCAGTCTTCTTTACCCCTCAGCTCACAAGCTCCAAACAACCCCCATACACACACACACACACACACACACACACACACACACACACAAGTGCCTACCTTTGTGAGTCTTCCTTTTTTCCTTCTCTTCCCAATGATTAATGGGTTGGACTCACTCAAAGCCCAGAGTAACAGTCCATTCAGTTTAAAAGACCAGCAAGAATTATCATTTGGGGATGTTGATTAGTAATATAAGCAGCTGTTTGGCTGGAAAGAGTCTATGACTCCTAAAATCTCAGGGACAGGGTCTGTCATTTGTTTTTCCTAAGTATCTAAGGATGCTAATTAAATATTAATTTATTTGGCAACACATAAAGGATATCAAATTTCTGTTCTTAGCAGTAGCATGCTCCAGCCACAGAAGTTAGAAGAAAAAGCTTTCTTTGAATAAAAAATGCCTTTATCAAGTGTGTTTCAACAATTTATAACCTACCTACTCTTTTGTGTGTGCTGATCGAGTTTTTAACTAGATAATGCTTTTTCACAGAGATACCAACATAAGAGATAGGAAGACTAACACCTGTTATGATGGTTTCAATCTCATTTTTTCATAAGTTCATTAAAATAGCAAAGCTCGAAGGACTCTTCAGAATCATCTAATCTAATTCCTTCACTGTACAAATGAGAAAATTCTGGCAAAGTGAGGTTAAGTGGCTTGTTCAAGTTCATACACTCTACATACTTTTTCTTGGAACTTACCAAAATAGCTCCACTCCCAATGAGTCCATACATGTTGTTGTTGGGAGTACCCTTACAAAGAGATGACAAGGTGGAAAAGAGAGACCTACTTAAATTTTCACTGTCCCCACATTACTCTCATATGGACACAGTCCAACTCTTAAAATACAAAGATCATAAGAAAGGATTTTAAGATTAAGTGATGTTCAGACCAGTCTTGAAACAGGCCATCAAACTAATGAACCACCTGTTAAGGGATTTGAGGGAGGAACAGAGAGTTGATGATAACTATGATGTTTATGAATAGAGAGGGTAGTTTCTATCCAAGGAAGAAGAACAGTAGAAATATAGATTGTAATACCCTGGTCAAGAGGCATAGATGTTGCTTGCTGGGCGGTGGTGGCATATGCTTTTAATCCAGCACTTGAGAGGCAAAGGCAAGTGAATCTCTGAGTTCGAGGCCAGCTTGAGCTTCATAGAGAAACACTGTCTTGGGGAAAAAAGAGGTATAGATGTTCAAATGAAGATTCTGGGTTCAAAACAATTAGCAAGAGAATCCTGTATAATCTACAAAGGGTAAGGTTTATTGAGTGTTCACTATGAGTCATGTACTGAGGTAAGTGTATTACTCCCTTTTGCTTATTTAATCTTTATTATAATCTTGTTTTAAGATTTTATTTTTATTTTTATGTATATTTGTGTGTAATATGGGTATGTACATGAGTGCAGTGCCAGCAGAAGCCAGAAGAGGTCATCAGATTCCTTGGAACTGGCAGTGGTAAGCTACCTGACATGGGTGCTGGGAGCCAAACCCAGCAGCCTTTCTTATCCACTAAGCTATTCTCCAGCCCCTAAAATACTTTTATGTATTCTTCGTGTGTGCATGGGGGAGGGGTGCTGAGTACTCATTGGTCATAGCATGCATGTGTAGGTCAGAGTGCAATTTGTAGACGTCAATTCTCTTGTTTCACCATTGTGGGTCTGAGGATTCAAACTCAGATCTTCAGAATTAGCAGCAATTGCCTTTGTACACTGAATGATCAATCAAGCAGGGCCTGCCACTCCAAACTTAGGAATTAGCACCACTATTCATAGAGCTTAGAGACTAGCCAAAGTCTGCCAACAATACTCCAACTCTATTCCCTACCATACCATTTGGGGGAGAAGATGGTTCCTTTTCTACCAGGGGGTAGGGGGAATAGATAAGCAGTAATAGAGAAGCTTAAAATCATGGCTCTTTTATTTCACCATTATGTTGAGAACCACATCTACTCATAGGAAACATCACCACTGACATCACAACTGAGGAAGTTATTCTCAACATCATGAAAACACTTCACTCTAAATGAGGCCAGTAGAGTTGGTAAATCACTATGGAAAAGAAAATCAGTGGGTCATATAATGAGGCAATTGTACTGAAACATGACTTCCTGGAAATCAAAATTAACAAGGCTATTGTGGACTTCTATTTTGTGTATCCAAAAAAGAACAGAAAATGTACCTTATAAAGTAAGCGAATCCATTAATAGACAGCAAGGCTATAAGCAAAGCAAGGCAGACCATCATGGCTAAGGCGGGGTCGATACCTGCTGAGAGAAAGAGAAAGAAAAAGAACAGCATTGGAACAGAAAAGCAGTAAATACAGCACACACCACAGAGCGACTCCTTGTGCTTCCTGGTGACTCTAAAATCAAGCCACATGTACCTAACCTAATTCCATTTTTCTACAGCACAGTCTGTCTTGTTGACTTTATGGACAAGAAAGCAATTTCACTGTTCTGAGGCAAAACCACTCACCACTCTGACAATAACAAATCACATGAATTAAGGCTGACCAGGGTGTTTTCTTTGGAGGAAAAATTCTACAAATGGAAAACTTTGAGTGCATTAATTTAAGTTGCACAGCAATAAAATTCTTCAGAATAGGTATGGTATCTTACCTGTGGAGGACAAGTATTATGTTGTCTAAAATAAAAGACCTTAATCCATCTGAGTCCACAGACCTTATGGATTATATCATAATTTGTTCTTCAAGGGTAAGGTACAGTCTGGTTTTGACAATTAGTGCTATCATAAGCCTATTTGTTGGTCTCTATGAAATCTAGGTATCTAAATAGCTTACAAGTATTTCAGGGGGAAACACATGATGATGTGAGGGAAGAGGCAGTTGGATGTGTCATGTTAAAGGAAAATTAGAGTGAAAACTTATTTCAGACAGATGTACTTGGTTTTGAAAAGGTATAGGCAGACACTTAAATCAGAATGCCAAGGGTCTTTCTAAAGGTACCCTCTAGATCTCAGAGATTCGATGAAGTTTCCCTCTTCCAAAAGCTGTACGAGTCCTACAAGTCAATCAAACTGCTAAGGGACATCAGAATTACTAGCTGTGGTTCCTACCCTCAAGGAACAATATATTCAGGGAGTGAGGAGACACAACCAATACACGAGAAACAACTGAAAATTGATTTTGTGCTAAGCTGTAAGGCAGAGAATTTTAGTGTAAGGGTAGTTCAGAAAAGAGATGGTATAAATATGGTATTCTTGTGGTAGAATTTGACTGACAGGATTTGGATATAACACGGGAGACCTAGGTGATCTTTTTAGTAGAGGAAAATAACCACAGGCCACAGGCAACTCAAAACGAGTGGTGGGGGGCAGGAAGACACTTTCCTTTAATGTCTTGGAGAAAGATTGAGACCTCTTTCAGAACCAATGATGGGTTAGCTTTCAAATTGTGAATGATTCTTTAAGACTGGAAAGTGCCTTGTGTGTTTCTGATTATTTTTAAATTGATGAACCAGAGTACCAAGATGTTTGTGCAATCTGAAATGCAAATGTGTGACGTTGTGAATGTTTCAATATTAAAATAGACCTTGTCTTAAAGAAGTACCTCTATAGTCCACCCTGAACTCAACTGGTGACCAGTGGTTTACCGTTCCTTACCTCCTTGGCAGATCTTCCCTTCTGCAAACCAGCATTTTGCATCTGCACGAGTGGGCCTGCCACCAGGGAAGTGAATGGGGGTCCCTCTGAACCGAAGCAGTTCAGTTTCCATGTCCACAGTGTAGGTGCTACGGAGTTCCCATTCCTTCCCGTTGGTGTCCAGGATTACATATTCAGAAATTCCATTTCCATTTGAATCTGTCCTTATCAACTGGTTGAATCCATAGAACTGCATGTTTCTGGAATGCCGAACCAGGCTGGCGCATTATTCATGGCTTGTGCGATAAAGTAAATTGAATTGTAGATGGTTCCAAACAACGGTGAAACCTATTTTTAAAAATTACAATTATCTTGAGTCCTAGTCACCCTAGAGTAATTTCAAAGTATATTCCAAGCTTCTCTTTATTATGGGCCACACGTCTGAATGGAGCAAAGCTATGAAGACCCTGGGGAAGGGGAGATATTTCTGAGGACTTGCTTGGTTTCTCCCGTTAATTTTTCTGTTTTTTCCCCCAAGGCCTCCACATCTTTAAACATATCAAATGTAACAATTTCACAAGCAAACCAAGTCATACACAGTATATGTTTGTGCTCCTCAGCTAAGAAAGTGATTTAGGGTTAAAAAGAGCACTAAAACACAAGCATGAACTAGACAAGGGGAGTTCAAAGGAAATTTACCAGGCTAGTTATTGGTGCACTGTACATGGGAAAACCACTTCCTTGCACTACTAGAGTGGTAGATATATATGGCAAGATTGTAAATAGTGGGTCTCCACAATCCATGCCTGTGTACTCCTTTGTCCAAAATGCATAGCCTACTAGACACATACTCCTCAGAGAAGTGGCCTCTAGGATCCATTTTAAATGCATATCCCACACTAGAAAACATGCATTTAAATCAATAAACCTATTGGCTTGCAAAGTTGCAAAGCTTCGATGAGAAACCACTGTAAATCAGTAGGTATGCTACAGAAAATTACATGACTCTGACTGCTACACAGTTGTTACAAAGGCGATGGTATTTGTATACTATGCCTGATGTACTGCTCAGTAGCCTTATAACTTATTTTTGAATATCTCTTGTATCTTTTATAATAAAAGGTAAAGAGAAAGATCAAACAATTGTTCTACTCTGCAGCCCCTACAACCATGACCTCGTGGTTTCCTATAGCATTTCAAATAGAGTGTGGAGGTCAAGAAGGTTGTGATTGTGTCGTCTTACCAAGCTTGAAGAAAAGCTGGTACTCACTATTTTTGTATCCTAAGGTCTACAAACCTACTAACCCCCTGTGATAAGCTTCATGTGACAGAAAAAAATCTTAAAATGAACTGAATTATGTTTCTGTTGGAAATACAAGTCAATATGCAGAGCAGTGTAGTAGTTAACAGAATAGTATCATTCTTTGTTTACATAGAATATGGTGGGACAACCATGACTACATATTAGCATCACCTGAGGAATTTTAAAAACAAGCTCTTAGCAACAAATTGAGATGCTAAATTTGGGAAACAGGAATCAGGATTATGAAAAGTTTCCTAGGGGGGCTCTAATATATCTAAAATTAGGAAAAGCAATTAACTGTTCCTAAGAAAAGAATGTTTGGGTGCATTACACATTACCCCACTCAGTGTCTTCTATAAAATGATAATACAGAATTATGGCTATCATAACATTTTATGTCATCTAATTAGGAATTTTTCTAGGTATAGAAGGGAGATTCAGAGATGCCAAGTAATATGACAAGCTCACTCATTCAATCATAAAATCAGGACTAGAATACAGGGCTCCTTTATCTTGGGTTAATATTCTTGACAGGGAAAAATGCTGTCTACAGTTCCTTCTGCTTCTGAACTCTTCTAAAAATTCTTGGCTTTTGACCTAGTCAAGAGACTAAAGTTAGCAGGCAGCCACTTTTGTTTGTTCTACATATAGGTTCTTGTTTAGCTCTCTGTTCGCTTCATATTAGAATGCCCCAAACTCAGGTCTTTAGCTTCCTTTCTATCTATATTTTCTCCTTTGGAGACGACTTCTGCTTTTATGAATTGAAATTGCGCATCTATGGCATAACTTTCAAATTTGCTATTCCAGCTTAGACCTCTCTCCTATATTCCAGACTCAAATAGTGAATTGCTTACCTCAATAACTTTACTTGCATGTTAAATTTTAACATACCCCAAATTGACCTTTACCCCAAACCCCTTGTACCATCTCTAATTAAGTATCCCTTATTTTTTCTGAATAGCTCCATATTCTTCCCATCTTTTAGATTACTGAGTCTCAGTCTCCTGAATTCTGTTTCAATGAGCTCTCTCCACTACCCAACCCCAACACACACTCTTCAGAAATAGATTAGAAATAAATCAAAACAAAACATCCACCTTCAGTGGACAAGCATATGCACAGATCCTTTAGGAAACTTTCAGTAATTCAGTATCCTGACATTCTTTAACAGTGGTTGCCTTTAGTACTCCTGCAAAAGCCCAACTACTTTCTGAGATATTGGTCTGTTATGACACAAAGTGAATGAAAGAAGGCAAAGTGCAAAATCAATACTAATAAAATAAAAACTAGTTTTTAAACACCCATAGGGCTGAAAGAAGAAAGAATGTTAGTGTTCTGTTTTGAAAGGCATAGAGCTTTCTGGGAAAGAGGCTGTATTTTTCTCTCTACT